TTTGAACTACACTAGTGGGCATTAAATTCCAATTTTTTTTTATTTTTACCACATTAATTACTCCGGGCTATACGGCAATACAAAAGACAGTTTTAGGTAGGCCTAGACCATTACTAATGTTTCTACGACAGGTGACAATTGTCAATGAAAGACAAAGGCGCTGAGGTTGCACACGCCTTACCAGTGCCCGTCAATAGATGAAAAAACCTTTAATTGACAATTTAATTGTCAAGTTTTTTTAAGATATTAATTTTTGATGAATTTTTTTATCTAAAAGCGAAAGCGTAACAAATTTTACAAGCGGATATTGGCCTTAAATTTCAAAGTGCAGCTTTGTTTATTTTCTTTTTTTTTTTTTGTAAAGGAAAACAATCACAAATATTGAACTTATTTTTGTGGTAAAAAATTGTATGTTGAAATTGACATAAATTATTATTTATTCAATGAAATGCAATTTTGAATAATTTGTCAAATATTAAATAAAGAAAATGAGAGTAAAAATAAAAAATATTGACACAACTTAAATAGTTCAGATACCAAATAGTGAATTGTGAGCTATTCGTACTGTACCGAGAGGATTAAATCTATTTTGGAAGCAATTGTGTGGAGTAATGGTAAATGCTAAGATTAAATTAAAAAATATTTACATAAGAAAAACAATATTAGGCCTTTTTTTCTTAAGCAAGTTAAAAAAGTGCAACCGTTTATATGAAACAACATCACTACGCCTTTTCTTTTGCAAGCATATCACAAAAGAACAACCGCTTATTTTAAAAATAACATATGAAACAACAACACTGCTGGCTTATTTAGTGCAACCTTTTTAGCATAGTTGCCAATACTAAAAATTCATCTATTGTGAACGATTTTTGGAAGTACGGAAGTACAGATATTTGACAAATAGTAAGCAATTCTTTTTAATTTAGTGAAATCAAAAAATTATACTCGATTATTGAAAAAGCATTACAATACAGATTTTATTTACAATTATGTAAAAAATATTCTTACCTATAATTGCAAAGAATTATTCATTTTCAAAACTTTAACATTAAATTTTGTTACTTATTTTGCATATATAAGCCTAACAGAATTTCCAGTTCTTCCAGAGTTGATTTCAAAAGTAGTGCTTATTTTATGTTTTTTTTTTGCGACATACTTACAAAAGACAAGGCCTATTATCGTAAACAGGGTTAAGTATATTGAGGATTCTAAGAGTTAAAGTTAATACGACACACTTGTGATTAAGATTTTAAACAAATTGTGTTTTCTATACATAGTAAACATAGTTCAGATCTTTCGTTTAGATAAGAAATACATTATATAAATCTTGAAATTTTTTACAGTATATAGTTACCAATAGTTCAGTCTCAGCTTAAAGAATACTGTTTTATAAAGTGTCGACAGTTTGAAAATTGTCTGCATAAATAAGATCTTTTGGGTCACCACACAAAAACGTCAGAATTGTTAAATTGCTTGATCTTTTTAGTATTTTACGTCTTTAATACTAGAAATCTTAGGTTAGGTTAGATTGGAGTGGTGGTCTGTATTCAAGAAAGCCCACTATAGCTCAAAAAATGACACGTTTTGGCACCACAGGAATTGCACTGGTCCGTACATAGATCAACATGTCCAAAGGATCACCATCGTGACCAAATTTAATGCATTGAAAGCAACAACAAACTCAATTTTGACGTGCCCACAACTTTCTGCATAACATTGGCATAAGACCGGGTTGATATAGTCTTTTGCTGAAATGTATATATATATATATATATAGAGCTCGGCAAAAAAAATATATCAACCAGGTTTTAGGTATGAAACATATAAGTGTATATATATTTTAGGCATTAATTTATCTTTGAAAAATATTTCTAAATATTGGATAATAATAAGTTCTATTTATATTCATTTTCTTAACATTATAAACTGTATTTTATAACATTTTTACATAGGATTCCTATATATTATAAAAGAACTGCTACTATTAGTATCAGTATCAAGGTCTTCATCAGAGTAAGTATACGCTAACTATAGCATTTATAATCTACCTCTGTAATATATAATATCACTATGATATATAATATCTATATATTTATATAATATACGCTATAATCTATAATATACCATACTTTATATATTTTATACTTTATTTTTATTTTATTTAAATATAAGTCTAACGTATGTATTTACACTTACATATTTTAATTGTCGATTTACCATTGAAAAATATGTCATCTATATAACGTAAGTATATGTTATATATTTTACTTTTTTAATATAAATTATTTCCATCTGTAGTGTGTTTCGGAAAATTTCGTCTTCAGTTTTAATTTTAATACTTCATATTGAGATAACTTAAGAAAAACACTGGATTCAGGTAAAATTATTTGAAATTAAAATAATAGTTCAATTATTATACATAAAATTTGTAAATAATGCAAAAAACTATATAATAGTGTATTCTAAAGACCTTTGTTGACAAATTTAGTGATAGATTTTAATGGATTGTAATGATGCATTAGGTCTATTACAAGAAGCTTTCTGAATTTCCGCTAATACTTATTAGGCCTTTTATTTGTATGGGAGTCTTCAATTTTGACATTTGATTTTTGTTGAAACCTAGTGTATGTCAAAAATGAGTACATCATAGTGTTTCAGCCGCTTAATGTATTCGATTATTGATCCCATGGCTAATATCTGTAGTTTTATTTATACTATATGCCCATGATTTTAATTCGAAAAAAAGTATATATTTCATAAATTGATTTACCTTTGAAAAATATTTCTATTGAAATATATTTCTTTTCTTAACATTTTAAAATATTTCACCTTGAAGTGTTTTTCAAAAAATCTACAAGTTCTATTTCCAAGCTAAATACGGATATTGTTATAAGATATTGTTAAAAATTGGTTACAGGTAAAATTATATTAAATATTTTATTGATTCACCTATTTTTTGGCACCTATTTTAATTGTTGAGATTGGCTATATAATGTATATATACATGTATAATGTATATATACATTTCAATATATTTTGACATTTCCATCCATTTTGACATTTGCAAAATTTCTAATGTTCTAAATGAACTATTTTTTTTCATAGTTTGCAATATAATCCAATTAGTCTACTGAGTCGTATTAACGTATCTCGTAAATTTCTTAATTTTTATAAGACTTTACGAACTACACAACTTAAGACTGACGTCCTTTTTGATATCAGGAAGGAAGGCTTGAAAGTATTGTATTGACATTATCGTGGTAAGTTAAATTATATTAAGAATTCTTTAAGATTATTTTATATATAATTCTGCCATTTTTATTTTTAAAAAAATTGAGAAACAAAGTGCAATTGAAAAAATTTGCACTGTACTTTTTTAAAAAATATATCTTATCTTGTCTTTCAATGCATATACTCTGTCAAGCTTAAATTCTTTTATTAAAAACTAGAGACGACAGTACTTCATTCTCTTTACGATACGAAAAGTACACAATAATGAAAGAGACACATATATTAATTTCTGCTCGGGACTAAATTTTTACATCGTGTATGGTAGAGATTGTTAAACAACTTCTTTGAGTCACGAACACAATGTTAGTATTTTATAAATCTACATAATATATATAAACCTATATGTGTATGCCATATAATACACATAGCGTATTTGTTTTGATCAGCTACAGTGAAGTCAAAAGTATATAGTGAATATGTCAAAAGTTATCACGGAGTTCGTGTATACTTAATGTTCCATTTAAGTTTTTTAGTGCTTTCAAATGGTAATGAATAGTATAGTATTCAATTGAGGATAATGCATAATGATATATAAAAATTAATAACTTAGCAAAAAATCAAAACGTGCTTTTCATAAAACTAATATATATCACATTATGGTAGTTTACCGATTTCTGTTATCCTTATATGACTATTTATTGTTATATAGTGCCCGTTTCTTTCTTTGTTGCCCTACCTCCGTGATTACATACTTCTTTTTGCAAATAAATATAATATAGATATTATAAATAATAAGGTGATCTTCAGATATTGAGTTCTTAATGTCCTAATATTTTTTAAAGCATACCTTTCCCTCTCCGTTTTTCTATAAAAAACTCTTCATTTCTTGGGTTGAAGATTCCTTCACAATATATTTGTTAATATACCAACTATTAATCAGTTGTTAAAAAAATATGTGTATGAAAAATATTTAATTTAAGAAACGTTAAACAAATTTATTATTATTACTTATATCTACTAAATAAATTATATTAAAATTCATATATATTATAGTTTCCAAACTAGTAGCCGTAAATATGAAGCCACAAAATGTACCACGTAAAAATAAACAAGAGCGTAAAAATAAGGATACAAACCCCCGTCAACAAGGTGACTTTCCTACATTAGGTGAGTCTTTTGGGCAGCCTTATGGACAGCTTTATGGACGAAATGACCAGCGGAAAAATATAGATGCCGGCTCTAGCGTACGTGATGATAAACCATCAGCAGCAGATTTAAATTATGACTTACCAGAAATTATAAAGGAACTAAAGACATGTCAAATAACTGAAGATACCGAAAAAGTTGCTTGTACCTCAGACAATTTTTGGACAATGTCATTCCCAACTGAACAAGAACTGGATGATGATGCTATAACATATAAAAAAAAGCGTATTAAGCGTCCTCAAATATGTTTAGATTCTATTAGTACTCAAACAAATTTTGATACTCAAGTTGATGGTTCTGTCTTTCATCCAACCATTACAATAGATAAAGAAGGCAATATATCTAATATTCCGCCGAACGTGATAACTGATGGTTTCGGTATAGTTGGACTTCAAAGCATGTTGGAACGACGCAAACGCAGTCCTGAGTTAACTTATCTACAATTGGGCGTTGACGTAAATCAGCTCGATATCGACTTAATGTCTGATTCATTAATTTATCCAAATTTTGGCGGTGCCTTGAACCCTATTATTAAAACAAAAGATAAGGCACCATTCAACGGCACTAGGCGCCAAAATAGTGAAATGACAGAAGAAATGCTACTCTATATATTTTATTCATGTGCATCATTTAGTAAACAAATGGAAGCTGCTGTAGAGCTATATGAACGCGAATGGCGTTTCCATAAGATGTCCAGCGTTTGGATGCAAATGGGACCGGACGAAATCTATGAACATGATGGTCCACGAATTGCTGGTATATTTAAAGTATTTGAGAAAGAAGAATGGGGCTGCTTTTTAAAATATTCAGTCATTAACGTTAATGATTTATGTGAGCGTCCTCAACTAAACGCTTTCGAGAACCAATAAATTATTAATTATTTTTAATAATTTGATATTAATTACTGTAAATAATTTGTTATTTATAATTTGTGATTTATTATTATTAATAGTTAGTTATTGTTAATAATTAATTGTTAATAATAATTAGTTATAAAGTAATAATAAATTATTAAAAATAATTTATAACAAATTATTGATAGTAATTAATCACAAATTATTAGTAGTAAATTATAGTTATTAATTAGGATTAAAGTAATACAAATTTTGCAGTAATAATTTATTTTATAAAAATTGTAGTGTTAAATATAAATTTATTTGAGTTAAATAATGTTTGGAAATAGTAGACGATAATATTTATATTAACTTTTTTTGATAATATATTTTTCAAAATTGAATAAAAGATGTATTATCAAAAAAATTTGTGTTTATTAATGTATACTTAAAGCTCAATAAAAATAAAAAAATATATATTAAAAAATAGCATATTTTCTCCAAAGACAATTCAACTATTAATGAGGATTCCCTTCTATGGTACATGAATTCTTTTATCATGGTTTAGTCCCACACATTTGATAGTACCACGCAAAATTTTGAATATGACGTATGGCGCTCTTAAAAAAAAATTTTAAAACGAGCAGTGAATGGCTTTCCTCAAAAGAAAAATTTTACTCTTAAGTTTCAACAATTTTTACTGAACTGCACAATAAAGGCTGATCTGTTATATCCGACAATACTTAGTATATCCTCTTACAACCTTTAATTTAATGACTTTTGTTTCCAATTTATAACACTACGTAAGCTATCATTATGGAAGAAACATATTGGCACTAGGCGTCAGTTGACCAATAGGTCCAAATTGGCTTTAATATTGATTTGTAAATTCCCAATTTGTTATCGGGACTGAGTTCAGAGTTGCGATTTAGAAGCTGGTACAATTCCTTATATTTAATGCATCTTTTGGCTTCAATATGTCTTGTCGATGTGAGCCTTCTATCTAGATTAATTCCTAGATATTTCACATAATGTGATTGCGCTATATCCACATTATTGATTTTAATTGCACTGCAAGCCACTCCATTCAGCAAGCCACTCTTCAATGAAACCAAGATGCCTGGATAAATTCTGTGTTGCTATAGTGTAGTCACGGTCGTTACTGACTATAGTTAAGAATAAAATAATATTTGCTGTAAAAAAAAATTTATTTAAATTTGCAAACGATTAGCTAACACATGTATGATCCCACTAAGTGGAATGTATCTCAACATTTGGAATCCCAAAGTATGCAATAATCACAACTGGTAAGTAACAATTATTTTTAGTATTTTTGTTATTTATTACAAAATTTGATGTGATAAATTGCAAAATAAAATATACAATTGCAATTTACGAGCAATAACCATAATAAACATCAGCAACAACATGTCGTGTAGCTGCAACATAATCTTCAGATACGCAACTGCGTAGGAATCAAAACGATTTACGATAATTTTTTCAAAGTCTTCATGGAGGAGTTGTTCATTGTATTTTGATATTTTACTTTATGATTATTAAAACATTTTTTTGTTTTCTTTTTATTTGTAGATAAATATTATTGCAATTTATACAACAATTTGTAGCTTTACGGGCACGTTAAATAATCCACGCCGAGTAATTTATCTAGCGGCAGAAATGGCCAATAATGCAACCATAAAAATGATTGTTTTAATTTAACATTTTAACAATTAACATTTTTACAAATATTGCAAAAAAAAAAACAATATTTAAAACAAAAAAACCAAATTATTTGCAAATTCCAATGCAAATCACACCTTCATAACATTTTACTCCGAAATAAGGCGAATTACCTGGCAAATTTTTTTAATTGAACTTCTAAGCCGTCATTTGATTGCAAAGATTGTTAAATAATGTGAAGTAACAAATATTTAAGGTCAAATAAATATATTTATTTTAAATATATTTTTAATATGCAATAGTGGTAAAACACGAATACCGACTAAATAGTTCAATAGAAATTTCGATAAGTTAGATCTTTCCTAGAAACGTGCAATTTTATAAACCACTGACCTATAATAATGAATAGTAGCTACTATTTCTGTAGATTAAAACCGATATTCTCATTGGGAAGTATTATGACCAAATTGTGCTTGATTTATTTGCTTTGAGATAATGGATTCTAGTTGACAATCATAGTGATACATAATAAACGCAATTCAGTTATAAATAAGACTTTATAATATATATTAATGTGTAAACATGTAGTATAGATATATGTCTATATGTCGTCTATTTAGAAAAGATCTGCCAATCTTCCTCTTTTATGTAGTGTTTGAGTGTTTCTTTATGAGAACTTTCCAATTTAGAATTTTGCATATAATAGTACTGATGTTTAGATCTTTATGTAGATCCCCTAATATTACATTTCACACCTGTTATGCTCCTTGGTAGGCCCCTTGACAGAAATTTACTTCGAGAGGGTTTTCAGTTAATTTTAGCAATTTAGAAAAAAAACATATTTGTAATAAAACAGTCATTAATATTGAATAAATACATAAAAATATGTTTACATATATATACTAATTATATGCATGCTTCATAGCACTCATATAAGAGTGATATCCAGATTATATGGAACTAAAAAAATTTTTTACAATACAATTAAATTAATAAAGTAAAAATAAATTAATAAATAAATGAATTTTTATTTAAATTTAAAAAAATTAAATTATTTTATAATTTTAATATAAAACTTTTTAATATTATATTAAGCTAATAAGAAATATATTCTCCTAGATCATATGAAACTAATTTTCTGATTAGGTAAAATTTTCTAAAAGATTTATCAAATTGATTAATAAAGTAAAATTTAATTAAACTAATAAATTATACCTTTATTAAATTTGAAGTAATTAAATTATTTTACAATTTTAATATAATCCTTTTTAATATAAAATTAAACAGATAAAGGAATATACTTCCTCAGATTATATGGAATTAATTTTCTGATTTGTTAAATTTGTTCAAAAAGATTCATCAAATTAATTAATAAAATAAAAATAAATTAAATTTATGAATTAATTCTTTATTAAATTTAATTTCAAACATAATTTGAAATTATTTCATAATTTTAATAAAGAACTGTTTAATATATAATTAAACTGATAAAAAAAATATAAACTCTCTCTTATAAGAAATAATTTTAAAAGATTGATTATTAAATATTAATTGTGTTTTTTAACTGTTGTTAAAATAATAAAATAGCAAATTATATATATACAAAAATATTTTTTTATATACAATTTTTTATCACTTAAAATAAAAGAAAAAACTGTACTCGCTACTATGCTTTCGCGGACCTACAATCATCCATTAGTTCGGTTAATTATAGGTAGGCAGAAGCGAACGATTTTCTCTGCCTTCTTTGATTAGAGTTTATAAAATCCAAATTTATTTGTAAACTCTTGCCAAACCAAGAAGGGGGAATTTTTTTTTATTTAATTTTACTATATTGATTTAAAAATTGTTGAAACCAAATTCGACCACACCGAGCATCGAACCAACGCCTGCTGGAGAAATTCTATTCTTCAACGCCAAGCGTTAGCTCACTTGCCCATTTAGCCATTTTTATTCGGGTGCCTAAAAACATTCTTAAGCAACTATGGTTAAAATATAATGTGGTGAAGTGGTATAGTGGTATAAATATGGTGAATATTAACAAACCAAACCAAAAATTATTAAAGCTAATAACAAAGTAATATATACACTACGTTTACGCGAGTCTTAAAATCACTTTTAAAACTGATTTTAAAATTTGTTCTTAGAGCGTTTACGCACAAGAATTAAAAGCACTTTTAAGGTAACTGTCAATCAATCAGCTGTTTAACAGCAAACATAAATGTTGATTTTAAACATTTTAAAAATGAATATGGTAAAATTACAAATTGTTTTACTTTTATTGCAAAAAAAAGATATTATAACCAAAATTGTAGAAAATAATAATAAAGCAACAATGCTGATTTTAAAATCATTCCGTAAAAAATTTACAAAATTACGAGAAATGCGATTGCAGCTCTTTAATAAAATGGCAATACGTTCCGCTAATGAGGCTTTAATGAATGTAAATGTTTTTATAAAGTTTTTCATAAAATATTTAGAATGCATTTTTGTTTTTAGCTTCCACCACGAATAAGAACTTTTAACAAAAGGAAGAGAAGTTCGGAGTGGTGGGATGTTGAAGTTCTGCAGTTCTATGACGATGAACAATGGATTGCTGATTTTCGAATGAATCGACAAATATTTTTCAGGCTTGTAGATTTGCTTAAGGATAAAATGGCACCAGCAGAAAATACTTTCGTTGAAGGGTTGTCTGTTGAAAAGAAAATAGCTATTGCAGTTTACAAACTTGCCTCTTGTGCTGAATACCGTGTAATTGCAAAGGGATTTGGAGTATCAAAAAGTACTGTTTGCTTATGTGTTCACAGTTTCTGTAAAGTTTTAATTGAAAATCAAGTCGGCAAAATATTATCCTGGCCAAATGCATTAGAATGTGAACGCATAGCCTCGAGATTTGAACAAAAATTTAAACTGTCAAATATTATTGGTGTTATAGACGGCACTCATGTGCCAATTAAACCCCCAAAAGACGGTGCTGCAGACTTTCGTAACAGAAAGGGTTATAGTTCCATTGCAGTGCAAGCTATTGTGGATGATCAATATTTATTTAAAAATATCACAGCACAAAATCCTGGCTGTGCACACGATGCATCAGTGCTTAGGGGCAGTTCTCTATACAAAAACCATAATACATTAATTCCTGAAAGCCATAGTGAAATCGACGGAATTTACAACGCCTCAAATGAAGCTATGCTTTTTAAACTTCCTTATTATATTATTGGTGATGCAGCTTATCCGCTTTGTAACTGGATTATGAAAAATTATAGGGACGAGTTAACTGTTGAAGAGACATCCTTCAACTTATATTTGAATCAAGCACGAATTGTTGTGGAGCAAGCATTTGGTCGCTTGAAAGG